AATTGAATTATCCTTTTAACCAAATAAGGGTCTAATAGAGGGCTTTGGCTAAATTTTTCATTTTTTTTATCTGTTCAAATAGATCTAATTTATAGTATATTCAACAGATTAGATCTATAGACATCTCTCTCTCTCTCATCAATGAGAACGAATTCATCATCCAAATTTGTTCAAATTCAACAACAATAACAAACAAAAACAATTTACCAACAAAAAATTTTTTACAGGAAGAATTCATAGGGTTGAATCTTCGTCGAAATCAAGACTGCACTAGCCAAGTCGAGCAATGAGAATTGAATATCGAACAAAAGAAAGGCTTCGAACTGCATTCTGAACTTGAAATCGAGTTCATAATGGTGAAATTGCACAAAGTTCGAAAGATCACAAACCATATCTAAGATGTTATAAGTTGAAAGGTCACAAACCAGATCGGAGAAGCTGAATACAATGCGATCGTTGCCAGACACCGTGACAACGGAGAAGCAGAGGAGAGCAACACCAAAAAGACGTGGAGAAAGTGCATAAATTTCTTATCGATGTCAAAGCAGACAACGTCAAGGTCGTTCCTATTTGAAACCATTGCGATTGGACCAATTTCATGGTCTTCGTCATTGGTTGATCTGCGATTGAACCGATTTCTCTGAACTTGAAAACATCTCCAAATCACTATAATCACCCCCCTCACCGCCGCCATCGTCGTCATTGATCTTGTGAAACCCTAACCCTAGGGCTTTCGGAACAATGATTTTCAAGATGCTGACGAACAATGATCTTCAACTAATGATCTTGAAAGAAACAAAAAGCCATCGAACTCGAGGAATCAGTACAGCGGCGAATCGAGGAGGAATGACACGTGGAACTTGTTGACGATGAGGAATCGATGTTATATACTCGTCGACGATGGCGGTTGAGACGGTGGATATGGAGGTGGAGGATGGAGAATGCTAGCGATGAAAGCAGAGGAGAGAGAGACGATGGTTTTAGGGTTTGGGAGCAACATATATATATATATATATATATATCGGGTAGTTTGGTCATTTATAAAAACTTGTCTTTGTAGACAGAATATTTTAAAGTGTGGATTTATAGATAAAAAATATTTAAAATTGGATTTATGGATTGAGAACCTTAAATAACATAAAATTACTTCTAATATTTTAATGAAAAAATAACTGATAAGTCTTATTTTGTTTTCAAGATTACTATTAAGCTTTATCAAATTTTAATATGAACAATTAAGTCATATTTGTGATAAAATATTCCAAAAAGATTCATTATGAGTAATTTTACTTGCACCATGAAATGAAATGAAATGAAATGGAATGGAATCTTTACATCCATTTTCTTTTTACACTTTTTCTATAAATCATTTTTTCTCATTACACTTGTCATAATACCAAATTTATCTTTATCTTTCCAAACTCAAACCCTAGCGTCCACCCCTAACCACCACTTTTGCCGCTCTAACAACAAACGTCGACGACTACCCTTCTTGCTATTTCCGACCACTACAACCCTCTTCTCCCTACCTCACTTTTTTCATCTTCCTCCGAATGGATTTTGTATGGCTGATGGGGCATAAAAATTAAAGCACCAAAAGTGTTAAATAACTACTTTCAAAAGAGTTGAAATTGCCTTTCTGCTCCGCCCATGGCCTCAACCATTTCTTTGCAAAGCTTCATTGGCAGTGGAAATGACTTTGGATCACGACCCAAAAGAAAACCAAAATCAACATGGAAAAGGCGACCATTATCCCTAAGGAGAACATTGGTGGTGTTTGGGAAGCAACTTCCCAAATTTTTTTCTCATTTTTTCCACTAAAAGACAAAAGTTTTGCAAAACCAAAAAAAACACATACAAACAAAATATCACATCCAACCCCATAATCATTTCACTTTTTCTCTCACAAACATCACATCCAACCACATAAAAACCCAACTATCTTCCCAAACACCAAAAATTTTTTATCTCATAAAAACCTACATCTACTAAAATCTACATAAAAACTCACTTCCCAAACACCATCATTATCAAGGTGCCTATAGGCCATGAAGATTAATGGATCAAAAATTGTTCCATAATTTAGTACGTGAAGAATGGTAATAATCATCCTTTGACCCCATATGTGAGCAACTGAAACATGTTTGATATCTGATAAAACCAACACACAATAAATCTGTCCCAAATGTGTCACATAAAGCTATTGCTGCATCAATACATGCACCATTTTATGAAGCTGTCCCAAAAGCTAAATTGTGCCTCAACAGAGGACTTGTTGGTGTGTTTTTAGCCACCCTAAAATTTCATTTTTGTTGTACAATTACACCATTTATAACTAAAATAGATGTCTTTCGACAAGAAACAGATGGCATATGCATTAAACTAGATGTCAAATCACCTGTTTCCAATTCCTAATATATATGTGATAACTGAATAACTAGCACAGCTTTTTATAAATGTTTCGAGACAGGTGGTTGTAATTCCAAATGGTCGTTCCTCGTTATGGTGAAACTTTTGCATATAGCTTATAATACTTCGGTGCTCTCAGAGAATCTGGAAATCAAAAGGATTAACCTCTATTAAACCCATTGCAAGATGGCATTTTGCCACAATTCACAAGACAGCTAAAACTACACCCAGTTTAATCCTCATTTGATGACATTGTAATAAATCACAAACACTGATCAGACACTGCAATCTAACCTATCTGGTGGCACATGCAATTATCTAGGTGAATTAGTTACAAAGCTAGTCATTCATCCTCAACAGTTTTACATCATACATAAAATTTAGAACCCATAATCCTTTCATTTTTAATGCAACTAATACTCGTCAAAGTAATCAATATTCCTTGTAATATAAATTTATAACAGAAACGAAATGCCTACAAGTATTCTATTAGTGTAACTTTCCTATCAAAGCCATTTTCCTAATGAACTAGAAATGCACAAGACATAGTTGCACAAAAAAGTAATTTGCACAGATGTGAGTAGGCCTTCAGGGATGAAAAAACATAATACTTCAGGCAAAGAAAAAAAAATAATGTCATCCTTGAAATTGAAAGTTTGATTCCACAAGACCAGGATACTTGAAATTCAAGATTTCAAATATTTGAGAAACTAAATAACAATAATCATCTTATGAAGAACTAAATGCATGTCAACTGAATTAAGCATTGAATTTGTTAATATAAAGGTAATAATGATGTTTTGCAACTTAATTATCAATAAGAGCTATGCAAACTGTAATTATAAGCTGTGACTCACTTGCACTGTAACAGAAGCATCTCATACCTGTGCTAAAGAACTAGACGGTATAAATTCCAACATGCCTTCATCATGTCCAGTTGCTAGCACCCTGTATGGAGTTAAGTGCAGATCAAGATTCTCTAGTTTAAGCAAGCGATCCATAAGCGATACCATTTGAATGACCTACAATGACCACAATCAATATATCAAATCAACTGATCACGCTGTTGGACTTTGTGTATGTGTTGCTAATGCTTTGGTGGGGCTGCTGCAGTTGCTTGTGTTTACGAGCTTGCAGTTTGTTTTCTGAAAGGGTTATTATGGAATTCTCGGGGGCTTGTTTTGTAGCCTATTGTTGGTATTGATTTGGAATTGTTGTTGTTGCTTTGTTCAGTTTTGGGACTTTTTTTTTCTTCTTCTTTTTCTTTTTCTTCTTCTTCCCTATTCTATTATGTTTTTCTCTGGTTTTGGTTGGAATCTTTCCAGCATTGTTTGTCTATTGGGTGGCATTTGAATATCATTTGCTTGCATTTTCGTACCAACCTATTTGGGATGGAATGGCTTTGCTATGATGCACTTTTGCACTATCATTTTTCTTTATTGAAATTTATATTAGTGTTTTGTATTACACTATTGGCTACATCAACAAAGTTTTTATTTTGCTGATGAAAAAAAAAAAATTAAATCCACAATATCCATGCATACTAGGTTGTTGACAAAGGAGGGAGGGGTTGCTACAGTAATCCGAACACTCACTGATTTGATATTCACTTCATATTATGCTTAACATCAATGAGTCGAATATCGACCAACCAACTTTCACTTTTGTGCATAACCCATGAATAGTGGAATCCCAAATTTAGAAGTGAATCGCAATGATACTATGTGTGTGTGTTCATACAACCAGATGGTGAGAATGTGGAAGAAAATTATACTGTCATTTTCTCTCTAATTTAATTGGAATTATAAAACCTCATAACAGGTAATTTACAGAATAGTTAGTCAATGTCAATGGGTTATATTTATGTAACAAGATAAATTCAATAAACCAATATTTTTTTTTTTTGTCTCACTCTACATTTCTCTATACTCTAACAGGCCCAAGCCAACAACTATGAGAAACATGTTATCTACACAAACAAATGAAGAAGAACTAGTTCATCTTCCTAATACTGAATTGATAGTGACTATGACCAATCAACCCTCCGAGTTTCTACAATGTGTTGCAATTCCTCTGCCTCCAATGGCATGTTGCTCCAATCATCCAAAAGGCAAGAAGAACTGATTGTCTTTGCACTGTCTTCGTATGACAACGATGAGCAAACCCTAATTGTTTTTGCATCAACCTTTAGTTTTTTGACCCTCAATTCCTAATCATCTGGAAAGTAGGATAAACTGTGTTCATCATCAGCCTCGTAATCTGACAATGACAATGTAGATGTCGAACAACACTTCTCCTCAGAATCCTCAACTGGTAATTCTTCTTCATTGTCTTCGTTGTCCTCGCCCAATCTGGCCACAAAAGGGTGATTCAAGAGCATTTGAGCAGTCAATCTATCCATAGCTTTTCTAGCAAAACAACCCTTCAAAAAGTCTATTGCCTCATCTGATACCTCATTTTCACTGCGTAGTTTGAGCAGTCCATGCCCTTTACCAATGTCACAGAGAATATCCTCAACACAACTTTTGAATCTTGTTTCCATCCAACAAAGACTTCCCAGTTAACATCTCAAAAACAATGCAGCCAATATCCTATACATTAGAAGAGGGAGTCTCTTGTTGTAGCCCTCTATCAACCACCGTCTTTGGCGACAAATATCGAATATTTCCTCTCAATTTATAAGATTTTGATGTTGTCATCATCTGCTTTTTTGTGTTTGCCAACCCAAAATCACCATTCTTAGCCACATAATTAGTCTCAGTTCTAGTACTAAGACTAACTGGAGCAATTATGATATTTTCAGGCTTTAGAGCACGGTGAACATAACCAGAGCTATGAACACAATCAAGACCTTCAAGAATATGCCTTGTATAGCGCCTAACATCAGATTCAGGAAATCCTCTGCCATCATTTTTGCTGATCAAATCAGCTAGGGTTTTGGCCTTAGCTATACTCCAAGAGAAGGTTATAAATGATGCGATTGCAATCACCGGGCATAATTACATCGTCGAAGCAACGATAGATGTAGGGACAAGTATGGAAGTTTCTAAGAACCAAGTCTTCTCTCTGAAGCATAGCAGAATCAGATACCTCTGCAGACTTCACAACCATTAGTATAGGCAAGTGGGTAAGTCTCCACTTGGGTTTCTTCAGAGTCGCCAAACAAACCGGTCCGCTGCTTGATTTTTCAATGATGGGCCCTCAGAACCACAGTTTTCCATCGCCATAGACACTTTTCTTGATCTCAAGTTCCTTATGGTTCCTCTTGATCAATACCATCTTCACAAAGATGGTGTTTGGGAAGTGAGTTTTTATGTAGATTTTAGTAGATGTAGGTTTTTATGAGATAAAAAATTTTTGGTGTTTGGGAAGATAGTTGGGTTTTTATGTGGTTGGATGTGATGTTTGTGAGAGAAAAAGTGAAATGATTATGGGGTTGGATGTGATATTTTGTTTGGATGTGTTTTTTTTGGTTTTGCAAAACTTTTGTCTTTTAGTGGAAAAAATGAGAAAAAAATTTGGGAACTTGCTTCCCAAACACCACCATAGTAAAATATTTTTTAAATGTTTAGTAAGAAATGTTTGGAAATCATCCAAACGTTGTAGTCAACGGGAATGGCAATAACTACATATTTTGTAGGTAAACTAAGAACAAGGAAGCTCAGGGTTTTACCTCTAATCATAATACATATATAATATATATCACATGTACACGTACAAACAAGTATGTACATGCATGCATTAATTTACTGACACGTGCCTTTGAAGGAGAGTTAACAGCCTACCCTAAATTGTTGATTTATCCAGTAGTTTAGCTCACGCTATGCCAAAATGATATCCCAACTTATCATCGAGCCACCTTGCCCCTTTTTACCATACTTTGACATTCTAACTCTATTGTGATAAGCAAAATTTATACAAAGAAATATTTAAGAACCCGCCAATACATCAATTAACAAAGCATGTATAAAATTTCCAGGTTCAACAGATATTGATAACCAAGTTAAATTTAAACATGAATTTATTCATATTATTCAGAATATTAGTTCAAAAAAAATTCAGAAAATTCGACAACTTTTTAACTTCGTCTAATAAATCTAATTAAAATCAGAAAAAAAAAAAAAATGTGATAGTCATGGTATTCATGTATCTATCTTAGAATTTCTATTTCAAAATAAATAAATAAATATATTGTGGCACATTCACAATTCATTTCCATATCACAGGAATTAGTTGGAACTACCAAGATTTATTAACAACTGTTCTGAAACTTCATTGTACATCCATATATGTAATGCAATCTTGAAAGGCAAATGCTAACAAGCATGAAATGATTAAAATTATATCTATCTATCTTCTATCTCCAACCTTCTATTTCCCATTTTCCATCTTTCTATCTTTCTATCTATCTATCTACTATTATAAAGAGAAGCCTTTTGTTGTGTCTCATTTTTTGGGTTTGTTGGTGCTTATGTCTCATTTTTTGGGTCTTTTGGTGTCTATGTCTCATTTTTGGGTTTTCCCAAGATACCCAATATCAATAGCTACACCCAGTTTTTTGTTTTTTCACCACTTACATGGGTAGTTATGAATTCAAAAAAAAAAATAAATAAATAAAATCAAATGACTCAATTGTTGGTGTTTTTAGATTTATAAAATGTTTCTATTTGCAAATTTGAATTCAATCATTCACTTCACAATCTTATTTCTCTGATCATATGCACACACATGGCGTGTGTGCCAACCACTTCTAGTATATATATAAAGTTCAAAATTCAATGAAAAAAATTTCAAATTAGTTTTTTTTTTAATTATTTTAAATATGCGTTCTTCATTTTCATTTGTCCATTTCTTGTGCCCCGGGGCACTTGTTAGCAACACCCATCTTGAAATGGAGCAGAATTGTTATCAAATTCGAACAAAAATCGAATAGCATTCTTAAATGTGATATATATATATACACATACACACACGTACCTCTACAACGACCTGTTCGGCATCAATCAAAAACTGCAACACCGCTTCAGGAACAGACCTCGAAATGGGCTAAGAATCGCATAAAAAAAAATAATTTAAAATTAAACGAATTCAGATACGAGCATTGATTGAGAGACGTGTACTTGTGAATATACAAAGATATATGATATGTGAGAAGAATTGGAAAACAGAAACCCTAGAAGAGAAATTGAAAACCTCGATCTTGGTCCATTCGATGGCGTCCCAACTACCAGCGCCCTCGATTTTTTCGGACTCGGTGAGTCGATTGTCGTCGGCCTCTCGGAGAGAGGTGGATCTCCCTGACCGTGGCTTTGAGGCGGACATGCGGCGAGTCGAGCTCGTACCGAGAGAGAAGGTTTGGTTTGGACAGAGAAAGTGAACTGTAGAGAGAGAAAGAAAACGCTTTGTGCCACGTTTCACCTGACATTCAGAGAGAGAGAGAGAGAGAGATTTTGGTAATTTACATGCGAAATCTAGAGTTTTTTTTAAAAAAAATATTCTTTAAAAAAAACAATTTAAAGAATTGTACCACTTTTTAAATTATTTAGGAAATTAATTTACTTTTGAAATTATATTTTAAAAATATAATTTTAAATTGAAATTACATTTTCAACATGTAATTTTAATTTGAAATCTCATATTGGAAATATAATTTTATGATGATATGAAATTTACTAAGATATATTCCATTTTTAACATACGATTTTTACTTGAAATTACATAAAAATGTGATTTTAATTTAAAATTATATTTTTAAAATACAATTTCAAAAAATAAGTTAATTTCTTAAATAATTTGAAAAGTGAATCAATTCTCTAAATTATTTTTTTTAATATTAAAAAAAATAATTTAGAGAATTGATTCACTTTTCAAATTATTTAAGAAATTAACTTATTTTTTGAAATTGTATTTTAAAAATATAATTTTAAATTAAAATCACATTTTTATGTAATTTCAAGTAAAAATCGTATGTTAAAAATGGAATATATCTTAGTAAATTTCATGTCATCATAAAATTATATTTTCAATATGAGATTTCAAATTGAAATTACATGTTGAAAATGTAATTTCAATTTAAAATTATATTTTTAAAATATAATTTCAAAAGTAAATTAATTTCCTAAATAATTTAAAAAGTGGTACAATTCTTTAAATTGTTTTTTTTAAAGAATATTTTTTTTAAAAAAAACTCTAGATTTCGCATGTAAATTACCAAAATCTCTCTCTCTCTCTCTCTCTGAATGTCAGGTGAAACGTGGCACAAAGCGTTTTCTTTCTCTCTCTACAGTTCACTTTCTCTGTCCAAACCAAACCTTCTCTCTCGGTACGAGCTCGACTCGCCGCATGTCCGCCTCAAAGCCACGGTCAGGGAGATCCACCTCTCTCCGAGAGGCCGACGACAATCGACTCACCGAGTCCGAAAAAATCGAGGGCGCTGGTAGTTGGGACGCCATCGAATGGACCAAGATCGAGGTTTTCAATTTCTCTTCTAGGGTTTCTGTTTTCCAATTCTTCTCACATATCATATATCTTTGTATATTCACAAGTACACGTCTCTCAATCAATGCTCGTATCTGAATTCGTTTAATTTTAAATTATTTTTTTTTATGCGATTCTTAGCCCATTTCGAGGTCTGTTCCTGAAGCGGTGTTGCAGTTTTTGATTGATGCCGAACAGGTCGTTGTAGAGGTACGTGTGTGTATGTGTGTATATATATATATATATATATATCACATTTAAGAATGCTATTCGATTTTTGTTCGAATTTGATAACAATTCTGCTCCATTTCAAGATGGGTGTTGCTAACAAGTGCCCCGGGGCACAAGAAATGGACAAATGAAAATGAAGAACGCATATTTAAAATAATTAAAAAAAAAACTAATTTGAAATTTTTTTCATTGAATTTGTGAAGTCTAAAGACAACATAGCGGATCCACTAACCAAAGGGTTAGCAAGAGAGCTAGTTGAGAATTCATCGAGGGGA